TGCGGCTGACTCCAGCGCCCACACTCCCTCGTCCTCTTGTGCGTGGGGCTCCGGAGTCTCCGGCTGTGGCTGATAAATTGCTCCTTTTGGCTTATGAATAACATGGCAAAACAAATTGCTTTGGGGACCTAGAAGGAAGTCATTGGCCTTGTGTAAACTCAATTGGAGTGTCAGAGCAGACAGCTCCGGAGGCGTCTACAAACATCTTCCAAAGATATCCCCAAAGTGAGTCACCCAAAAAGCAGCATGCCCTGTATTTTGGTTTGCAAATGAGTTTTGAGAAATGGCCTTGAGATCTTGGGTTATTGGCACCTTTCCCATCCCAAATTGCAAAGGACTTTGGAAAGGCCACAGAGTAGGAGAGAAAGGGGTGGGGTACTGGTCATTTACTGCTCTAACACAGTGACTGTTAGCGCTAATAGCTGAAGTGCTGGGACCAGGGTCTTGTTTTAAAGTTTGCATTTTCATAACTATGACTCTCTATCAAGGATGCTAAGGTGAAATCCTTCCTTGTCCCTTCTGCCTGTGGAGATGTCTAGGAGGCATGCCCCAGAGCATGATGGGGCATCAAAGGAGGCTCCGGGTTTGCTTTGGAAAGTGAAATTATAGTTTCCACACAGAGGGAAGGAGTAGGACCTGGGGGGGGGGGGTGATGTCCAAGCAGATGCAGCCTGTGGATTGGGCAGCTTCCCCAAGAGCAAAGACAGGATCTGGGTCAGCTGAAGAAACGGAGAAAACAAAGCCCTAGACCAGCTTCATAGCCTTGTCCCACAGGAGTGGGGCCTGCAGCAGATTACAGCTTTATTTGTTTAAACCTCAGGATCTGTAAGCTTTCACAGTCCTCTGGACTTGTGCTGCCTGGTTGTAAAAAGAACAGTTGAACAAGCTCTTGTTTGGGGGCTTCTTTCTTTAATGTATTTTACAAACACTCGTGGTGACAGGCCTGACATGCAGATTTCTATGTACTCACTCTTCAGTCTGGGATTACAGCATTAATAACACAGTTCCCTGCTTCATGCCATTTTTAAGCATGATCGTTATGATAAAGGGCATATACTTAATTACAGGCCTGCTTAATTACAGCTCTGTTGAAGCTCGTTTGTTTAGGAGAATGCTAATTGCGCTACGGAGCCCGCGGCACATCCTCACTTCAGCTGCTTCTCGTAGCTCCAACCCATGGATCAGTGTTTGTTAAACTGCCACCATCTTTTTCTTTAAGTAAAAAGAAGAAAGCAGCGACCAAATTCTGAAGGGACACAGTTTCTGGTCAGATATTGGGAACCATCATACCAGAGAGCTCTCCCCACATGCTAGACCCCTGACTGTTGTCAAATGTCACGTCTGTCGATGTACAGGAGCCTTCATGTAGTATGCCCATTTTACAGACAGGCTCAGAGGTGTGGTAGCCCTGGCATGGCCAGCCACCATCTACTGAACTGTGAAGGGAGCAAGAATGGAGCTCGCTTCTGAGCTCCCAGCCCATCCTTCTAGCACAGGCCAGGCTGTGAGCCCGAGGCGCAGCTCCATCGTGCCCCAGAACTTGGTGCCTGACCTCAGTGAATAGAGGCTGCAGTTGAGGAGGTTGAGCCGATTGGAGCAAGTTTGCCACTTTGTACTGACAAGGAACATGGGTTTCCTTCCTTTTTTCTCTTTTGTGGAAGAGACCTTGGTAGGGCTGTGGGCCATGCCCTAGCTCTTGCTGATCGAAGGGTGGGGTGACCCTGTGAGCCATGTCCTTCAGCAGTGTGTGGCCCTGGAGTAGGGTCAGTGAGAGCCTGGCCTCGAGGACAGAGGTCCGCATCTCAGCTCTAGAACAGTGGGGATGGAAACATACCAGCCCTGACTAGGGCAAGAGAGGGGTAGGGGGACAGGGCTCTGCAAGATAGGGAGGACAGAGATGATACCAGCCCTGACTGGGGAAGGAGAAGGGCAGGGGGAGCAGGGCTCCACAGGAGAGGGAGGACAGAGATGATTTATGAGCAGTCTTGGGGATCAAATGAAAATTTGTGCCATCATTTTAAGGATTATGTTTGCCAAACCACTGAATATTTTCATATATAGAAGGCTAAGGCTCCTAGGAATGGGTGCTGTTGAATAAGAAGGGGCCTTACCTCCTACTGCTAAATGCTGCAAAGCAGAGACCCTACCCAGTCCCCCAGCAACCAAACAGCTCTGCCTGTGGGCTCTGCCCTGTGCATCTGCCTAAGAGGATAATGTGGTCCCCTGAACTGTGATCAGTGTCACAGCCCTTCTCCCTATAGCTGCAGCTTCCAAACAGATATGGGCCTTCACTCACCTCAGGCCTTCTCTTATCTAGACAGGAGCCCACTCTGTCTGTTTCCCATGTCTCAAATGCAGTGCTGAGTTGCTGGGCAGGGTTCTACCTCCCAGAGGCAGCAGGCCTGACTCAGCCACTCCGTTTCCGTATGGGGTTAGTTTAGGGTCCCATGATGTCCTACCTCTCTTCAGGGCTCTTAAGGATGACCATGAGAGAATACCATGCTAGCATGAGGTGTCACCCTCAAGCTCAGAGAAGACCAAGTGGCACCCAGATCCTGTGGCCATGCTGTGGCACTGTGGCCTCGAGAGGGGACCTTTCATGTTCAGTAGTCAAATCACAGTGATGTGTCCAGCCAACAGTCACCCAGGTCCCCTTTGCTACTGTGCATGTCTTCCATTCATCCTGTTCAGCTGGACCTAAACCACAAGGTGTTGCATGGACCCTGGTAAATTCCATGCTCTGGTGTAGCCCAAATGCCAGCATTCTGAGCTGTTCATCAAATTTCACTGTTAGCCAATTAACAAGCATTCACTAGGTCCCCACCGACATGTCACTTAAATGTCCCACGGGTTTCTTTTCAGATATCTGATGGTGTCACAGCAGTTCTTTAATATGCTTTTCTAGTGCCTAGGGTATCATATGGAAGGGTGTATATGTGCCACTGTGGAAGCCCAGTGACAATTTTGTGGTGTCATTTCCCTCTTTCTGCCTTCCTGCGATTGCGGGACTCAAACTCAAATTGTTACATTTGTGCAGCAAGCATCTTTACCCACTGAGCCATCTCAGTAACCCCTACTAGACTTTTAGAAAAGATTTATCTATTTTATGTGTATGAATGTTTTGCCTGCATGCCTGTCTTTGTGCCACATACATACAGTATTCATGGAAGCCAGAAGAGGGCGTTGATCCTCTGGAACTGGAATTAAAGATGGTTGCGAGCTACCATGTGGGTTCTGGGAATGAAACCCAGTGTTCTCTGCAAGAGTGCTCTTAACCACTGAGCTATCTCTCCAGCCCTCTGCCCGTCACCACACACACACACACACACACACACACACAGTGGATTTTTACAATGAAATTTGGTCAGTTAGTATGGCCTGGAGCTCACACCTGCTTCAGTGTGTTCTGTGCTGTTGGGAACCCTGTGCTGTTCCTCTTAGGCCTCTCCCCTGTTGACTCTACCAGATGGGCTAAGATCTGTAGTGCATGCAAGCTGTGTGTGACCGCCCAGCCTCCTACTGTAAGTCCTCACCTCAGTCACTTTACCAAACAGCTCCTTGCAGTCAGGACTGGACACAGGGGCTTCCATCTCTGCCACCAGTACAGACAGGAGTGTATCTGCCACCACCACCATCCTGGTGGCCACCATCACATAGCCTTATGTTTCTTACAGTATGAAACACCCTCCCCTCTGTCAGCTAGTAGGCTGCAGAGCTCCCATAAGGCTGTGGGTGAGAACTTCGCTGTAGAAGTGGGTATGGAGAAGCTCTGTTCACTCTGCACAGTGGCAGGGGCAGTAATCTGCACGCTCCTTTACACATGTGTAGGTGAGATTCTATTGTCCATGTCCACGCCTCATAAGTCAAGGCTTCCTGCTTACTGCTTCCTGCCTGACTGACCTCAGGAGGCTCCAAACTCTGGAGCTTTGCTTGATCATCTCAAAACGATCAGAAGTGACAAGAGGCCCTCCAAGCATTTGAGGTCAAAGCACATAAGAGCTGTGTGGAGTGAATCACGGTCTGCCACAAACCACCCTCCTTACTGCAGGCTGCAGGTCCCTGCACTAAGGGCCAGATCTGTCAGCTGAATTTTGCCTCAGCTCAGTCAGCAGCTGGATTCTCTGTTCACGGTGACACTGTGAGTGTTGACATCACATGCTCCTCCTCTATGGCAATATTGCCACCAGTTTGGCAGTGGAGATGTAGATTGCAGGGGATGTGGTACAGGAAGGAAATGGCTTCCCAGTCCCTTCTCTCTCACAGGCTGACTGTTCCACATCCTTTCTCTCATGTCTTGTAGAAATTAAGAACACAGGATAAGTCTTAATTCAGCCCTGAAGCCATGACAAAGACTCAGTAACTGTGAGCATGTGTTATAGTCAGTCTGTCCTGCCTTTCCTCCCCGCCGCCCCGCCCACACGCACACTGAGCCCACTCTTGCAGGCCCTGGGCAGGTTCTTGCAGACTCAGAGCATAATCCCAGCCATTAGCCAAGCTCCTTTTATATATGACTTTAAATGCTTACTGCAAGCCCAGACCAGGACTCAGGCCTGGCCATCTGACCTCTGCACTACTCATCTTTCCATGGAGACCGATGAGCACTCAACACCATGCAGGCAATCTGTGGCTCAGCCTAGAGAATGAACAATGGACACGCCCCTGCCAGCTTCCTCCCAGGGTGTCCTCTGTCCATTCCCACCAGATACATCCCTTTCTTCCTAGACTAGGTCAGACTCCTGGACGAGGGTAGGAAGGGCTTCCATACCAGCCCTGGGCTGTCCCCGACTGCCTGCCTACACTCAGAAGCTCCACAGGAATCTGCATCCCTGGGTTGGATGTAGTCACTGGGAACAGGGCACTCACTCTGTAGCTCTCAGCTACTGGATCTGGGTAGTACCTGCTTCCAGCCAGGTACTCACTGATCCTCTCTGTACTGGCATCTTAGATTCTTGGACAACAACGGTGTCTTCAGTGCCTTCCTCTCCTCTCTTCTCTTGCAGCAATGGATGGTGTGCCTTTTATGATTTCAGAGAAGTTTTCCTGCATTCCGGAAAGTGTAAGTTTTATGTATGCTCTCTTCCTCCTCTCCCACCCCAACCTGAAATCCTTCAGCTTCTATGTATGTGAGCTGCTCTTAGCTATGTCTAGGTGGCTGTTTGTTTGTTTGTTTGTTTGTTTACTTGAGACTAGGTCTCACGATGCAGCCCTGCTGGCCTGGAACTAGCTTTGTGCACCAAGCTGGCTTTATCCTTACACTGCTTCCTGAGAGCTAAGATTAAAACATGCACCACCCAGGCTTAATGATTTTTCTTGAGACATATAGCTCTGGCTGCCCTGGCACTCACTATATAGATCAGGCTGCCATCAAACTCAGAGATCTTCATGCCTCTACTTTCCTAATGCTGTGCCACCACATGTGGCCTTGGGTTTTCTTCATGGTGATGGAGTTGGCCATAGTTCCCACTGTCATTGCCGTATTCTGTGCACACTGCATGCTTCGCTGTGGCACAGAGGGTCAATGCTCTGCCTATGCTCTCTGTCCAGGTTGAGCCCTGAGCACTCCTGATTAACAGAAGGACTGGGTGAGCCAGCCAAGAGCAGAGGCCAGTAGCCATACCATGAGCAGTGTTTGCCACAACCAGGGCCCTGTACTGGGCTACATCCCCTCCTGGAGACACCCCTCCGATGATGCCTGGTCCTCAGACCATCCTTCACCCCTCTCTCAGCTGTGCAAGCCTGAGCCACGTTGGGTCACTAAACTTGTTTCTGGCTTTTATCCTTCTTGCAAAGGATTGCTTTGAAGCATCACTAAACACCACGGCCCTAGTTTGGCCCAGCTAAAGACCCCTTCAGTGTTTTCCTTGGACCCAGTTTAAAACCACCCGGCTGGCGATCCAACCTGCTCTGTCGTTTCCATTTTTATGAAATATAATAGGCCTCCTCTGAACCCTTCTGGTAAGCGCTTAATCTTGAAAAATGCTCCTGACGTGACACAGGAAGCCTGAGGAACTTCAGCAGAGCCACTAGGCTGTGTTGCCATGGAGACGCTGGCACTCTCCTACATGCTCCGTGGGAGAGGCTGCTCTGCCCTGCTCACCAGCTCCAGTTGAGAAAGTTTAGTGGAATAGTTAGAGTCTAATGATACAGCAGCTGGACCTCTGCTGGCTCCTGGGCCAGGCGGGCAGGCAGCCCCGTCCTCACACCACGAAGGCTGGCGTCTCCAGCATAGCCAAACTGTTTTGTGGCTACTGGTAGCACAGCCCCAGGAGCTCAGGGTCTAATTTGGTGGCCCTGTCCCAAATTCGCCCTCACAAATATCTTGCTGCCAATTTAGCAAGCGCTCAAGGCCACGGATGCAGGCCAAGCCCAGTGTTAAGCTCTTCCAAGCACTTCTCTGTTTAATCCCCCTGCAGCCAGACCAGAAGGGCCCGCCCATGCCACTTAACAGGCTTTTAAGTGTGGCTTTTAAAGTAAAAGTAAGAGGGGGGCAGATGCCTCCAAAGGTGAAAGGCCTGTGGCACAAGTCCAATCACTGGAATTCAGTCCCAGGGATCCACAGAAAAAAGCTGGATATAGTGGTATGTGTGTGTCATCCTAGCACCCCTAAAAGATGGGAGCCATAGCCAGCTGGCCTAGAGTGCAAAGGGCAGCAGAAACAAGAAAAACCCTGCCTCAGCAAGGTGGAAAGAGACCCAGCTCCTGAAAGTCGCCCTCAGACCTTCAGATGCATGTATTTACACTCTATAAGTAGCTAAACGACTAGAGAGAGAGAGAGAGAGAGAGAGAGAGAGAGAGAGAGAGAGAGAGATGGCATTAACCCATCCTGCACCACGAGGCAGCCAGTTTGGACTTCAGAGCCACCCACCAGCCTCTCACCTCCCCCCACACAGAAAGAAGCCCCTGTGGCCCTGTTCAGACACTAGCCCCACCCCTACCATAGCACTTTGGGTCCAAACCCCTGGATTCTATGTGGTTCTCGGGCTTCACCTGCTGGCAAGGCTGCAGAAGGCTGGGCTTTTGCTGCTCCTAGGAAATACAGAGCTCGTATACCTGGAAGGAGCCTCCAGCCCCACAGACAGGGAGGCTCCTCTGGACTCCAGCTGACCCTCTTGGCCTGTGTATTTGACAAGAAATGTCCCAGTGTCCATGGGATTGCAGAGCCCTCATTAATGTGCAAAACTGTCCCACTCACCACCTTTGACCTGATGGACAGGTATCTCCTTCCCCCATCACTACCAAAGATCTGGAATCCACCCGCCTTCCCTATGTACTGCAGACCCCTGGACCTCCTTAGACCTGACACTGTTCTTTAGAGATGGCAGTCAAGGTGGCCGCTGGTGTAGACACTTCAGCCCCATACTGCGTCACAAAAGCATAAATCTCACTTTCTCCTTTGTAGCAGAAGAGAAGATGAGGTAGGTGACTGCAGACACACCTCCCAGAAGGCCATAACCTACTCAACCCCCCAGCAGACCCCACAGTGCTGTGGATATGTGGCAAAGCAGTCTTGTGATACTACGGCTTAGCCCACCATTTCTCTGTGGTTCCTCCCTGGACCCCATGACGACTGAACATCACAATATCCATTCCCATGGGAAGGGGTGGGAATGTAGGATGGTTTGGATATCACAATTATCGTAAAAGCAAGGGAGGGGATTCATTCTACAGCCATCAAAAAGGGTGACTTGGTCTATATTTTCAGATGCAGCCCTTTGATCTCTTGGGAATCACCATCAAGTCTCTGGCGGAGATTGAAAAGGAAGTAAGTATGCTGGACTCGGGCACTGTTCACTCCTTTAGGGTCTCTGTCCATCCGTCGGGGCTTTGTTGTAGGGAAGATGGGTGCAAGAGCCCTTCTGAGGGAAAACCCCTGAGTCACGTTGCATGCACCCATCCCCTGACATAGACTGTGACTAGTGACTTCTCATCATTTGTCACCGTGACTGTCTCAGAGACTTAACCAAACCTCTTTATGATCCAGAGGAGTGTCCTAGGTCTCTCATACATAGCCAGACCCCTATCTGACTAGCCGGTTTGATGGCATCTGGCCATCATACAAAAGACACCAGGATCAGGGTCCAAACGAAAGGTGCAAGGAGATAGGCCTGAGACTGCGGGTCTCACGGAGGCCTTGCTGGGCTTGTCCCTGTTCATTCTGCACATCCTGTCTACACAGAGAAGACTGCCACAGTCACGTGCTGCTATCAGAGCTCCTCAGAGAGGAACATTTGTCTCGAAGATGGAAATGGCAGAACCATTTCAATATCCTTGGTTCCTTGGGGCTTTCTCGTATGTACCCAGCCAGCAGAAGCAGGCTGCATTATTGAAAGATGGCTGGAATCAAGGAAAATTGAATCAATGCAGTACAACAAATTTCTAAGCCTGTCAAAGCAAAAACAAGACGAAAACCTCACCCTTTGTCTTTGATTCTCTGTAAATCATAAAACCCTGATTGTCACCTACAGTTTTGTTTGCTTGCTTGCTGGCAACAGTGGAAATGGCTGACCACAATGCTAGAAATTTGTTGTGCAGAATATCTCACCTACCTTTAAAATGATTCTGCAGTCCGTCTGCTAGTGAAGAGCATTTGCCAGGAACCCAGCATAGGCGGACCTCCTAGGGATGAAGCCCATGGGTACCAGGGGAGGGTTTGAGAGGGTAGCCTGCTCCAGATGCAGTGGGAGAGCAAGATAGAGCAGGGACACATAGACAGACATTAGAGCAGCCTGGGTGCCTAACCCAGGAAGCCACCCCTGGTCTGTGCTGGGGTAATGGGAGAAGCTATCTCCAAGGGTGTCAGCTTGTGCTATGTGAACAGATGGAAAACTCTGGAGGCAACAGGTACTCACTGCTGGGGTTGGATGCTCAAGAAAGGGGCATCACCATCCCTCCCCTCCTGTCCATCCCTGCCCTTGCCACCTTGGCCCTTGGCAGCAGCATCTTTTTCTTAAGTACTTACCATGGGCACAGTCCTAGAATTTGGGGCTGTCTTGTTCTCACCCAAGTGACCAAGTGACCTTCCTCTTTTGTATGAGGCAATATTAGAGCCTAGTCCTATCTTATGGCTGGAAGCCCCTCAAAGGAGTTCTCTCAGGCCTGGTAGAAGTAGTGGAGACTAGAAGACCAGTTCTCCTGGGTCCTGGATGCAGTAAGTAGATAGACCCCATTGTCAGGCCAGGGCATCTGATGTCAACACCAAATGTCTAGGTTCTCCCTCTACTCAAGGGGCTGGCCCCTAGCCAAGCATGTCTTTATGGTCTATTTTCTTAACCCCAGCACTCTGAGTTAGGGCATAGCTTCTGAGACACAGCACCAGGTATTGGGGACAGCTCTGGAAGGAGCTCCTGGGCTTGAGCCCAGCCCTTCAGATTGGCTTTTCTGAGCCTTTTCTGTCAGGTGGCATAGTAATGGGAAGTACCAGCAGTGCTTAGCAGGGCTCTGCTGAGAACCTGCACAGTGATAGCATCACCATCTCCACTGTCCATCACTTTTGTCCTCTCTCTTCCTGGGGCTGGGGCAGGAGCAGTGTCTGCTCGTCCAGGTGTGCAGCTGAGGGATGCCACTGGGGTTGTCAGAGCCTTGCTCTGTTTCTCACTGTTAGTCCTGGTAAGAAAGCTGGCCTGCATTTGCTGCTGAGGGTGCTTTCTGGAGGATGAGGAAAGACAGGGGAGCATTGCGGGAAGTGCACACTGCAAGATGGTAGGGTATCTTTTAGAACAAGTGTCCCCAGGGCTGGCATGGTGCTGCCTGGGTCAGGATATCTGCTTTTCTCTTTTTCATACCCTGGAGGCTGGGCTGCCTTGGTGAAGAAGCCCGGGGCCTGGTAGAAATGTGCTCTGCTCGTGGTTTGTGTTTACATGTGTTAAGCCACAGCCCCCAAACAAAACAAAAAATAGCATGCCGAAGGCAGGGGATTACTTCTAATTTTTTATATACTTATTTATTTGTGGCAGTGGGAGCCTGGCACAGTGTGTATGGCGTCAGAAGATAACTTGCCTAAGTCTGTTCTCTCCTCCCATCACGTGAGTTCCAGGGTTAGAATTCAGGTTTTCACGCTTTGCAACAAGCCTCCTTCCCCAGTGAGCCATCTCACTGGCCCAGATAACCACCTTTGAATTTGGGACTAAAGACCTGAACATCTCCTAAGATCCTGCCCCTGGCTCCTTCCCATAGCAGGGAGCAAGGTGTCCAGCCACCCTGCACAAGAAACCTGGACTGAGGTTGAGTGAACAGCCAGAGTCCCTGGCCCTAACTAAACTGTCAGCAGGTGGCTCCAGGGAAAACACAAGGACCAAATGTGGCCTAATAGGTATATTCTCTGCCACCTCCCCTAAGGGGGCACAGCTTGAAGGCAACTAGTCAGTCTGTCCATCCAACATTTTAGTTGTCATTGTATTTCTATAAAGAGACACCATGACCAAGGCAACGTATAGAAGAAAGCATTTCATGGCGGGCTGGCTTACAATATCTGAGGGTCTGAGGGGTTAGTCCATGGACGTCACAGCAGGAAGCATGGTGCTCGGCAAGCAGGCATCAGCTGAACGCTCCATCTGACCCATTATCTCATGGCAGAATAGCGCTAGGCCCACTTGGGCTTTTGAAACCGATGCCCCCCCCCGTGACACACCTCCTCCAACAAGGCTATGCCTCCTCATCCTTCCCAAATTCTCCACCAACTAGGAAGCAAGCATTCACACATACAAGCCTGGAGTGGCCATTTTCATTCAAACCACTTCACGAGCATGAGCACCCCACCTAGCCATGGGGATTTTCTGAAGCCCTGCCTACCACTCACCTTTCCCAGCAGGTCTTCCATGGAGCTGCTGGCCCTGTCGGTCTAAGAGTTAGAAATGAAGCAAGAACCTCAGACAAATGTCAACACCAAAAGCTCATGCCAGCTGCCAGCAAGAACACCTGCCCGGTGCAGGTGCCACCACAACCTTGACATACACTGAGTCCCCTGGTGCTGCACAGGCAGTGTACACGCTCAAGGAAGGGTGTGACACTTATCCTGGTAGGCAAGGAACACAAAGGAAGCAGCGTGCCTGACTGGCAGCATGACCAGCCTGTCAGCACTCAAACTCCAAGTTCCACAGACTCCCTTATGGATGTGTTGATGGTGGAGGTGACATAGTATCATGGTCAGGACACTGTGGAATCTGTGTGTCTATAGTCAGGTGCCATGTGTTGATGGTGTAGGTCACATGATACTGTTATAGGCAGCACACAGGTGTGCACATATCTGTGGTCAAGAACCACGTGTCTATCTAAGTGATATGATGTCATGGACAGGGTGCAGGTCCCCAGTTTGCCTGTGTTGGATGCCACATCTGCCCATAGTTGTTTTGTGGTTTGAGTTAGGGTCTCAGTATATATAACTCTAGCTGGCCTTGAATTCACAGAGGGCTGTGCAGGCCCTGTGTGTGTGGAGACCAGACAAGGATGCCTGCAGGTGGCTCCAGGAGTCCTCTCTAACCTTCCCACTTCATTCTTTTGAGCCAGGGTCTCTCTCTGAGCCTAAAGCTTGTTGGAAGCCAGCAGGAATCCAGTGATCATCTCGTCTCTGCATCCATGCCCAGACCTCAGACGAGTCCCTTTGCCTCCCCAACCCCAGCTACAGGACAGTGCCCCATAGCATAGTGTCACTATAGTGTCACTATTGGTCACCTCAGAGCTGGCAGAGACCTTCAAGTGCCTCCACTCTCACATCCCCAGAGCTTCCAGGCAGTGCGGCACGCACAGCCCTTACAGCACAGGAGGACACCAGGAAAGGTGGCGTTTAAAACACCTTCAAGCAGCATTGTGGCAGGGGGAGGGGTCATCGAAAACACAAAAACCTCAGCATTCAGGTACACACCAAGATGTGGGTGGTAGAAAATGGATGAAGCCATGATTAATAAAATAACTGAGCCCAAATGCTGGCGCTCTCTCACCTCTCAGAGCTTTGGCGCACACTCCTGTCTGCCGGGTACCTGTCAATTCGGTCAAGGCAGTAGAGTGATTTTTGCTGTTCCCCCCTTCCCATGGGAGGTGACCAAGGAGTCACAGCAAAGTTTTCTGGCCTGACACAGTATGTCTTCCATCTTATTTTCTTGGCTCTGTGGGAAGGTAGTGTGGGGCTGCTGTCCCCACAAAACCACACTGCCCACTCCACCCCCACCCCAGCACAAGCTGCTCCATTGAGGAGGGAAGAAAAAATGCAATTCCATAGCGATCCATGATGAAGCGTCTTCCCTCTGAGTGAGTAGATGGGCATATAAATATTCCCCGTCTCCATGGCTCTTTATTTCCCTTGTAAGCAGTTGCCCCATTTCTCTATCTGATGGATTCCCTGTCGCAGCCAGGGTGGGCGTGCCCGACTCTCTCTCTCCAGCCACCTCCCAGACAACCATCCCTGCCCTAACTGTCTTGGTCCTCTGTTTCCTTCCACCTACCTGTGCGGCCATGGGCCTCCAACCCAACCAGATCAGCCTCACACCCACTCCGTCCCAGGGCTCGTAGGCCGAGATACAGGGCTCATCCCACACAGACCCTTTGAATCAGAAGCAACGATCCCTGTAATGAGAGAGTGCAGGGAAACCAGTCTCTGCAGACCCCGTGTGAACAGGCTCACCCAGAACCCTCCACAAGGTATATGGGGCTGTGGCTAGCAGCTCTCTTGTTAGCCTACCTTGCTTCCTGGTGGAACAGACAGCCTCCATTTTCAGAGGACTTGAAAACTGAAAAAGGAGCGTCTCATTAGCAGAGGGACCATCTAATATT